TATTTTTCATACTTAAAAAGAGTTGTTTTAAAATACTTGTTTATAAAATAATTATAAAAAAATTAGTTTTCAAAACCATAAATATGTTATACTTAAAAAGACTTACTTTTAAACTTTAAGATGGTATAATATATACAAGGGTTAGTTTATGATAAAATTGATAGAGGTAAAATGAATATTAGTGTTTAAGATTTTATATGATATTTAATTTGTAATATGAAATATATTATTATGTAATATGCATATAGAATGTATTTTTCTAATATTTGGTTATTTTAATTTTGATTATTTAGTTTTACAAAATTTAAAATATAGTGATATTGAAAAGATGTTTAATACTATTTCAAAAAAAGTTTAAATATATTAATCATTAGCTGATTTTCTTATCTTACTTTTTTATGTATGTATGAATTGTAATTTTTTAAAACTATTAATTTTTGTAATAATTTTATGTTTAATTAAAATCAAATTTAAATTCATTTACGCAAGATTTAACAATTTTTTTTAAGAACGTCACTTTAATGTAACAATTTTATTGGATTTTATTGGTTTGTTTTAGCATTCCTTTCCTGGCCTTTTGGGTTTGCTCTTCTAAAACAAGAGTAAATTCTATAATTGGTCTTTTATAACAGGGGGGTTTCCCTATTTAGTCCTCTATTATCAAATATTACCCAAGTGGTCCTTCGTTTATGAGTACCTTTCCACAAATAGTCCTTTTTTGATCTTCTATCAAGTTGGTGTTAATTTGAGGGCTAAAAATGTAATTTCACAATGATAATATATCTTTTTTGTTATACACAATTCCAAAGGCTGTTCCGTTTGCGTCGTTTGTGCATTACAGTCGCTTTTTACGACAACTATAGTCTACAAATGTGATCTTTCGTTAGAATCCTAGCCCACAATTATAGTCATTATTTTTGTGTTATCCGCTTAACCAATATCAGAACACGTCACTAGACATAATGTTGACGTCAAATTATATTTTTAATCTTTAAATTAAAACCAACACGGCAGAAGATCAAAAAAGGATCATTTGTGGAAAGGTACCCTTAAAAAAAGGACTACGGGGTAATATTTGATAATAGAAGACTAAATATGAAAACCCATGTTAATAAAGTACCAGAATTTACTCCTAAAAAGTTTTTTAAGGTGCGTATTCAATTGTATTCAATTGGGTTTTGTTGTTGAAGTGATGCCTGTTATTTCCTTGAAGAGCCGGAGCCTCTCAAGTTACTCCGCATTTACTGCAATGGAGCCGCCAGCAGTTCCCGCCGGGGCGAGCTTAAACCCTAACGGCAGGATTTTCGGCCGGAAGCCTGAATTCGGAGGCGCATTTGATCTCAACGAGTGTCCTTCCGCCTCCGAAGGCTTTGGTGCGGGGGGAGTGTGGCGGTGGGGGTTTGGTGATGGACGTGACCTATTTGAGAGTTGCCGGAAGTTCAACAAGTTCCGGCGTTGGATGCTCTGCTTTGGAGCATGAGAAGATCGCTTATACGCAGCTCTTGACCGGCGTTGAATCTGGAGCACCTGCAATTGCAGTGGCCACTGAGATGAGTTCTTGTGGCATTCCTGGTAATCCTGTTTTTTTATGTGATTACTAAAATCAGTTGAAATTGATTTGCATGCGATTGTTTTGATCACTTTAACAGTAATTACTTGAATTTTCAAAGTATGGAAGGAAAGGTAATCTGACTTGCAACAAATTTTGTCACTGCAAATTACCCACATTGCTATGTTGAGATTACTTCTTAGTCATTTTGAAATCTGTTATTTCACTTTGCCATTTTGAAAGTACTTTTATTCTGTTGGAGGTTCCTTTTTTGTTTTTCTCTTTGACTATTTCCATGCCATCATTTGCAATCTAGCACTCTTTTTTTCCCGCAAAAAAAGAAATGCAGATGCATTTTTGCATTAATCCAGATCCAACTGGGAGCGTTATCTAGTATTGTGACAGTGGTCTTGATTTTTATCCCAAAACATGTGATAACTCAACCCGAAGAAGGCGATTTCTCCTACATTAACACATATGTGTTACTTCTTCATCTTGCTTTCTGCTTATTCCAGGATTCAGATTCTTACAATTAGCTAAAATTAGTTGGTGCTTTTTTTATATACTGAGTATAATCAATTGCTTATTTTGCTCACCAAAATTTAAATCCTAGTAGTAAACAACTTCCTCAGTCCCACTTTGTTTGTTTCATTGCAGTTTACATACCACAAAAACAACAACATTACCCCAGTGGTCAAAGTCTCCCACTCATGGCTAGGTGGGGGGTGGGGTTGGATATACGCAGCCTGACCCCTAATTTTAGGTACATAATCACTTTTGGATTCTCCCAGGTAGATAAACAGATGTAATATTTTGTTAAAATTAATGTTAATGACCATTTATGCTTTTTATTGATGGGTAAAGCCTCTTTTGCCTATACCCATTATCTTTTGTAAGTTTTATTTATGATTCTGATACCCATATTAAATCAGATAACCATATTATCTTTTCGTTGCTCACGATGCTGATAAATGGTTTCATTTGCAGGAACATACAAAGGCAATGCTGCCACCACACATAGATCAAAATACAGTATGTCAAGTATATTACATGTTAATTATAAGTTTCTTACTTCTGAGTTCTGAGTTAGTCACGTCTGATATGATGATTAACAGGTTGATTTTGTCCCGAATTTTGACAACTCACAAACATAGCCATCTCTACTCCCTGCTAGAATCCCGAATCTGCTTCTGAATGGTGCCTCTGGAATTGCGGTAATCGGTATGATCTAGAAAATAGTTAAATGATTTGATCTTCTATTCATTTCTATACCAGTTCACATATCCCTTTGTCATGCGATTGTTTCCATTCTTTATGCTTTCACGTTGGCATGGCCACAAGTATCCTTCCACACAATCTTGATGCAATGTATTCCTTAATTCATAACCCAGAAGTAACGGTAAAAATGAATTCGGTTATTTCACATTGCTATGTTGAGATTACTTCTCAGTTATTTTGAGATCTGTTATTTCACTTTGCCATTTTGAAAGTACTTTTATTCTGTTGGAGGTTCCTTTTTTGTTTTTCTCTTTGACTATTTTCATGCCATCATTTGCAATCTAGCAGTCTCTTTTTTCCCCCAAAAAAAGAAAAGCAGATGCATTTTTGCATTATCCAGATCCAACTGGGAGCATTATCTAGTATTGTAACAGTGGTCTGTATTTTTATCCCAAAACATGTAATAACTCAACCTGAAGAAGGCGATTTCTTCTACAGTAACACATATGTGTTACCTCTTCATCATGCTTTCTGCTTATTCCGGGATTCAGATTCTTACAATTTGCTTAAATCAGTTGGTGCTTTTATTTATATACTGATTATAAACAATTGCTTATTTTGCTCACCAGAATTTGAATCCTAGTAGTAAACAACTTCCTCAGTCCCACTTTGTTTGTTTCATTGCAGTTTACGTACAACAAAAACAACAACATTACCCCAGTGGTCATAGTCTCACGCTCATGGCTGGGTGGGTGGAGGGTTGGATGTTCGCAGCTTGACCCCTAATTTTAGGTACATAATAACTTTTGGATCATTGAGGCAGGTAGATAAACACATCTACAAAAATATATAGGAGGGTATTTTAGGTACATAATAGTTTTGGATCCTTGAGGCAGGTAGATAAACATAACCATAAAAATTTCTACATTGTCTAAAATCCCTGTATCAGCAAAACACACGAGAGTTATGTGTCCTATCTTACAATAGTGCTGACAAACAACATTTAGACTGGGTTGTGCAATATTTCTCCTAGGTTGTTTTTGACCCTCAAATGTCCTGGACTGCACAGGATCTCTTTTTTGTTTTCTAATGCCATTCTTTCTAAAATTGGTTAACTTATTTTTAGATGATCTATGTTTCATATGCTCTATGATCTCAATTTTCCCAACATTATTTTGCTTATTAACTTCAAGTTTTGTCTCTTTATTTTCACATGATTTCTAGGGGAACTAAACTTGCAAAAGTGCTTTTAAATTCTATTTCTAATTTTAAAGATTTGCAAGATGTTTATATAGAACTTTGGCTTTTTGAGTCAGCCTTCATGGTTGTGTTAGGGTCCGTTTGGTGAATTTTGGAGGAATAATATGATATGGGGTTCTGAAATCTGAAAAAAATATGGACTTTGAAATCTGAAATGAAAGTGTGTGGAGAAATANTAACTTCAAGTTTTGTCTCTTTATTTTCACATGATTTCTAGGGGAACTAAACTTGCAAAAGTGCTTTTAAATTCTATTTCTAATTTTAAAGATTTGCAAGATGTTTATATAGAACTTTGGCTTTTTGAGTCAGCCTTCATGGTTGTGTTAGGGTCCGTTTGGTGAATTTTGGAGGAATAATATGATATGGGGTTCTGAAATCTGAAAAAAATATGGACTTTGAAATCTGAAATGAAAGTGTGTGGAGAAATAAAAAAGGAACTGAAGTATACAGTTCCATTTTCAGGAACTGTTGCATGGGAACTGAGGCTTGAATTTCATTTTTCCGGCCAACTTATGTAATATTTTCAATAATTAATTCTTTTGTCGTGTAGTTTTAAAAGTACATTAAGGATATTTTAATTGCTGGCTAAATCCATTGCTTAATTTCATCTGGGGAAGATATATTGTTCAATGTTTTCAAGTATGGGAATGTGAACCTAATTCTTTTATGAAAAGAATTAAGAGTACAGAGTTGCTTGTCTAACTAGACATCGACTATGGAGTTTTGACTATAAAATGGTTAGTGTTGAGAAAAAAGAAGAAAAAACAAGAAAAGAAAGTGAGAAGATAATCTAAAGCAACCACACCACCTCCATCTCTCAATCTTTCCTAGTTTGCTCATCACTATGCCACCATCTCACTCAAGGCCTTAACCCAGCATTGCTGCTGCATCACTACCTCACCATCAGCATCATCCACCCTTGCTGAAGCGAGCAGATAGGTTCCATAACTTCAGTACTTGTGTAGGCTGATTGAAAGTGGTGACTGGTGATACTGGAACGATAGTTATACCGAATCAAAGAGTTGAAAGAGCAATCAGGTCTGTACGAGACATGCTTCGTCTTGATATCACAATGGCTGCTTCCTGAAGAGAGGGAGGGTAATGAAACAAATACTGATGTAATGTTTTGTTAAAATTTATGTTAATGGCCATTTATGCTTTATGCTGATGGGTAAGGCCTCTTTTGCCAATACCCATTATCTTTTGTAAGTTTTATATTCTAATTCTGATGCCCATATTAAATCAGATAACCTCTTTATTTCAGTAGGCCATGTTTACTAGTTGGTAAACTGTTGCCCCATGGTTTTTGTTGCTGACGATGCTAATAAATGGTTTCATTTTCAGGCACTTACAGAGGGAATGCTGCTCTCACACATATATCAAAATACAGTATGTCATCTATATTACATGTTTATTATAAATTTCTTACTTCTGAGTTAGTTGCTCCTGATATGATGATTATATGATGATTAACAGGTTGATTTTGTCCCAAATTTTGACAATTCACAAAAAGAACCATGTCTACTCCCTGCTAGAATCCCGAATCTGCTTTTGAATGGTGCCTCTGGAATTGCGGTAAATAGTCTGATCTAGAAAATAGTTAAATGTTTTTATCTTCTATTCATTTCTATACTAGTTTACATATTCCTTTGTCATGCGATTGTTTCCATTCTTTATGCTTTCAGGTGTGCATGGCCAGAAATATCCCTCCACACAATCTTGGAGAGCTTGTTGATGCAATGTCTTCCTATAATCATAACCCAGAAGTAACAGGAAAAATGAATTCAGTTATTTTACATTGCTATGTTGAGATTACTTCTCATTGCCATTTTGAGATCTGTTATTTCACATTGCCATTTCGAAAGTACTTTTATTCTGTTGGAGGTTCCTTTTCTGTTTTTTCTTTGACTATTTCTATGCAATCATTTGCAATCTAGCAGTCTCTTTTTTTCCCCCAAAAAAGAAAAGCAGATGTGTTTTTTGCATTATTAATCCAGATCCAACTGGGAGCTTTATCTCGTAGTGGTCTTGATTTTTAACCCAAAACATGTAATAACTCAACCTGAAGAAGGCCATGTCTCCTACATTTACACATATGTGTTACCTCATCATCATGCTTTCTCTTTATTTCATTCTTTTTTCTGATAATCTTTTGTATTAATCTTTTTTTTCATTCTGGTCATTGGTAATGCTGCACTTCCTGGGCCAAGCTTGATCTGTATTGCTTTCTGCCTTTGCCTTCGTATTAAACCTTAATATCTCTAGATTTACAACTTGGTTCCTTATTTCTGTAGAATTAATATGCATTAGATCTGCTTTGGTCTTTAATGTTGTCATATATATGTACTGGGGCACATGTTTACTTGCCTTGAATGACGATACTTGGATTCCTTTGATCTCTACAGTCCACATGCTAAGTCTAAGAAACCTTGGCAAACTTCTAGGTGGTGTGATTTTTGTATCAGAGTCTTTAATGTGTTCCTAGGCAGTGACCTGTTTAGCTTAATATTTTACGAGCAGGAAATTTATTCAAATAAAATAGCACAATATTATCACATCTGACTTCTTGCATTGATATCAATGCCACAGTGGAATGTGCTTTTTAGCGGTCATCATCACTGACTAAAATTGTGAAATTTGTTGGTGCTGTGGCTTATGTATCAGGGATGGAACTCTCTCTTTAACGTGTTTCAAGGAAGTGACTTGTCTAGTCTTATACAACAACATTACCCCCGTTCCTCAAAGGCTCCCACCCTCTGTGGGGTGAGGGGGGTCGGGTGTGGGCACCTTGGCCTCTATGTTTAAAACATAGAGCGGTTGTTTCAAGACAATCCATGATGACGGATGAGCGTCAAAAGTTGCATTGACTAACTGCTACTTCACTATTAAAGAAGCGCAGAGGTGCAGACATTTTAAAGAGCGATTTTGCTTTATTCCATCTTACCCCAAAACAAAAAATAGTGAATCATTGGCTCCATTGGACTTGATAGAAAAAGCGAGAGATATACTTGGTTTTAGCTTAGGTTTTGGAAGGGCGCGAGAAACTCAAACTCCATGATGGAATATTATAACGTTTGAGTTCATGCATTTTATACATGTTGTCAACTTGTCATGGCAGAAATGTTGTGCTTTTGCAGTCATTCCCAACCTTGGACTTACAACTATATGACATTTTGACAAAACAACTTGATGTCAAGTAGGTTTTCTGTGCCACATAACATGATATTTTAAACCTACATTCATTTAGTGCAGTCAGGCCTGAAAGCTAAAATATCACTCTCAAAAGATCTAATGATGCATATTCACCTGTTCATGTACAACTTCTGACTATTGTGCAAAACTAATGTGAGAAGATCCTTGACACTTTAATTTGGATTGATCATCAAAATTTACATTATTAAAGTTAGCCCACTGATTCACACTGCTAATAACTGTGTTTGCTTTGAATTTCAACCCTTTTTGATGCAGCTGCAAGAACTACTCGAGCACATGCCTGGACCTGACTTCCCTACAGGAGGAATCATAATGGGCAGCATTGGGGAAGTTAGCATCATCTCCTTTTACATCCCTCACCATCCTCTCGCCTAACGAGGAGAAAAAATATTAAAGGTAGTCCAATATCCCATGCTTAATCTTTATATGGGCACGGATATCTAACATCAAAGAAAGAGATATCAGGATTGGGATACTCATATAAGCATGGACCATCCATCAGAGTGTTTTTTATGGCATTGAGTTGAACCTGACCGAGTATCGTGCAGTGTTTAACATATGAAATTGACAAAAAATAGTGTCTTATGATCCAAATGTTATTAGCTATCACCACCATATACATGACATTCCATGTAGTTAAACCGGGCTCTAAGCAGTTTTAAGCATGGTTTGATTTATGTAGTGATGTATATAAATGAAGAGCTTTTGATTTGGGCCTGGAGATAACAATCTGAAATGGAAAAAGAGCTTTTGTTTTGGACCTGATTAAATTTTACATGATGTTATGATATGGTGTATATGTTGACATGTGTTCTTTATATTTAAGCATCTTGGAAGCGTAACGGACTGGAAGATGACGCATCGTAGTAAGAGGGAAGACTGATATTGAACTTCTTGATTTTAAAACTAAGCGTACTGTAATTATAATTAAGGAGGTTTCATTTCCTTTCCCTCTGAACTATACTGGGATTTGGATGTTTGCTCTCTTCTCATGGATATTATTGGGTTGAATAAATTAATTTGTTTTTTCATTTTTAAAATGATTGGAACAGATTCCT